ATAGGCAGAAACATCTATTGTAGAAAAATAAAACCAGTTTTTAGTGGTATATGTTGTTATAGTAGTAGCAGAAACACTTTGTGAAAATTTCGAAAACTATCTAATGACACACAGACGGTAAATTTTTTTTTTCTAGTATTATTCATACACACAGATAATAAACAAATCTTATTAATAATAAAATACCACGTCTTTACTTTCAATTATGCAAAGTAACAAACACACATGCACCGAAGTTTTAACACAAGCGTAAGTAGGTAGGTACTAACCGTAACATGATTCATTCAGAACCGCATATAACTACCTATTTAACTCGTCTCAATAACTTTCCGTTAGAGTAATTCGCTTTATTTATTAATCTAAACACCTTTTTTTTCGTGAGATAAAAGGAAATACTTAGCCATTAAAAAGACACACATTATGTACCTTAGGTAGGTACATAATGTGTGTAGTAAGTAAAATTATTTTATAGTCTTACCTTTCAGAGTTTGCAGGTAATTGAAAAAAACTTATGTCTGGATGCGTTATTGACGAATTCATACAACCAAAAACAGCACAATATTTCTTCTTATTCTAAAAAAACAACACACCGTCCGTTCGACACTCCGGCACAGCCGTGACTGTCTGCGCCCGAGCGCACCCCGAGATCGAGGCGCGTAGGTATAGCTCGCGTTTCGTCCGTTTGTATGAAGTTGGAGTACTGTATTATAATTGTACCGTGATATTACTCTTACGAGGTATACGACTGTTGGGCGATGCAATGTTGATGCATTCTAATTTCAACTACTTTCTACCATTATGGTCTATTTTAACTTATTGTAGATGACTTTTGATTTAAATATATGATGCTTTTAAGTCAAAGCTCTATACACATCAAAATAAAACACAATTACTTCAGCGTTATTTTTTTACAAAAAAAATCAATCAAATGAACTATTTCCTATTGGTTTAAATTTTCTATTTATTGCAGTCAGGAGAATCGTTCATACATGTATGTTCGTATTTATAATTTTAGCGGGCCAGTGCAGATTTTCTGTTGTTGTGCTTAAGATCCATTAGGAAAATTAGGAAAAACATAATAAATAATAGGTAATAATAATGAATAAATATTGAATGTATTTAACACTGTACGCAACTGTACCGAAATCGTAAGGTGTATTACACTAAACATTTTAAAAGACAGCACTATGTACTGGGTGATCGCTTTTTCGTAACCACCTAAACGTGGTCGGGTTACCACGGTCTTGCACCTTCTAATGACTTTTATTTAATTATCTCGCTTATTATTATATGTACGACGCTGAAATTTTACAGGTAGACAACTGAACTAAACAACTAATTATTGGTATAACATTGAGTTTATATATCCACAGACAGGTTTATCGGTGGCCAAAAAAGGCCGCACACATTGTGATCGTGAACGTGGAAAGCTACATTTCATCATAACTTTTTAGTCACTAACAGTATACTAACGAAAATTCGTATACATTTGAAGGCAGTTACAAGCAATAGAATAACGTTTACAGTAAGTCTTTAGAGGTCTTATTCAAGGTGTTAGGACGTATTGAAGTGTTTTCATACTTACCTAAATAATTTTTAAACGGTCCATTATTTTTGTTATTTTATTGTCGAACAAATTAAAACTAATCCTTAAGAAGTTATGTACAAAAGATGGTTACAATCCGCTTACCCGTTTCAGAGATCCAGCAAACCCACAAACGTTACCCCAGCAGGATTTCGAATAACTTCGCAGCCGAAGAAAATACAAATACCAAATAAGTTGTAACATTTACCTAGTCCAGATAACTAATTATTTAGCTAAAATTTATTTCAATATTACAATTAAAAAAGAAAATGTCTGGCTGCGGTAACGTTTCAAACGTTACTCCAGCAGGAAATGTTTTTTTGAAATAACAAAAAAAATATAAGAGAAACAAATTTAAAAATGTGCTTAACAATTACAGAAGGGGGGCAACTAATTATCTATAACGTTTAAATGACCATTTTCGACATTATTTTGCTGGGGTAACGCACACGGCTTTGATAGCATCTAATGCCTTTTGCATGTCATCCTCAGTGTGAGTACCTATTTTAACTGTAATAATGTAATTAACTCCTTTAATTTTTTGTTATTTTCTATATAATAATTACGTATTACGATTATGCCTATGAAAACAATGCTCATCGCCTTAACAACAAGGACACAGTGAGTCGCGATCAACTGCGTGCACAGTTCACCAGACCCACCCTTGACCATAGGCCTAATTTAAATATAAACAAGAAATAACCTGTTAAACACAAATAGCTAGTCAATTATACATATTATATTACAGCATACTAACAAAGTCAAAGTGTGGTTATACAATTTAATCGGTATTTATTGGACGTTATGAAATATAAACAAAATATCAACTCACATTTCAAAAACATATTTTAAGAGCGTCACAACAAATTGGGGTGTCGTCGTCACAGCCACGCGGGAACTAGTAGAGAGGGCAAGCTGCCAATCGCATTTGTGAGCGAATAAGTAGCAGCGCTACCTACATTGGTTTCGTCAATATGTGCATAACATAAAAAAGGGTAAACGGTGGAATAGTTGGGTACAATACCCAACTATTCCACCGTTTACCCTTTTTTTGTGCGGAAATCCCCTCGGATACCACTTACCGGTGGCAATGTCGGACTCGGACCTACTAAAACCGCACGCCGTCTCAGCTACCACCAGTAGTCGGAGAACCAGGTGTACCCTAGAAAGGAAATCCCTGGTGCCCCGACGTACCTTACCCGGTTACCCTACACTAAAAGAGTCGGGCAAGCTGTTTTACACATTCCAGACATCCACATCCCTGCTTTACAGAGGATTACATTGAATGTTTCCTAAGGTACCTACTTCTTATCATCTATTTTGCCCAAAAGTTTTCTTTCGTAAAACCATACCTTGGGAACGGTACCTAGGCACAATTTTGAAGTTCATCGATAACACGAAAAAACGCTCATTTTATTTTTATAATTATATTCGACTTATTTATATTCACCTTCTAGTAGGCAGGTATCATATTTATCTTAGAGACCATTTAACGTAATGATAGGCAATATCGAATAAGCATTTAATTAAATTAATAGCGTTCCTCTAGGGTAAATACTTCGGGCCAGAGTACTTAACACACCTTTCCTTTTATATTATAAATTTAAACAAATTATGCCCACTAGACTAGCCCCTGATGTTCATGGCTGTACATTTTTCACAGTACTTTTTTTTTAGTTCAGCGCCATCTAGCGCAGACGCTCCTAAATAAATTGTCCGTTACTACAGAATACAAATAGAATGTCTTTAAAATTTTGCTCCAAATCAAGAATTCTAAAATGTTAAGAAAACCCCATTGCTGGAACATTTTGACATACGAATTAATTTAATAATACATAAACCACTCTGAAAACCGATCAGTGAGAGCAACATTTTAGTTTAGGAGATTGGTAAACCTTAGTACAAAATACACACGAACAATAGAAGCAGTGGCATTCGTTCGTGGAACGGAATGTCTGCCAAACGTAAACAAAATATCCGCAAGTGCTTGACGTTAATTTAAATTTTTAAGAATAACAAAAAATGTGATAAACAAAAAGTTTATAGTAGCTATCAGTGTTAAATTATAGAGATATATATTATCTAGAGCATTAGATAAAAACTTCAATGTCAGTGTTATATGTAACTGGTTTGTAAGGCAGGAAACTCCTCAGGAAATGATTACAAGTTTGGTCGTGATGACTAATTCGTAATAGCTCTCTAAAAGCCATGGGTACTTTATACAAAGACCTATTTAAGTTATACGACGTAATTCAAAATGGGAATGAAAGGTATGTAAACTATTATACTGTAACAAATTGCAACCTACAACTTTTGATTTTGTTTTGAGGCTTCGTTCAAATCAAGTTTCGAACACCTGCCGTTCGCTAAAATTGGATTGTTTTGTAATACGGCTAGCACCTGCCACTGTATAATTATTATGTTGTTTTATTTATGTTTTAAAAACTTTAAAACAACTTAATTAAATAAATTATTGTTATTAATATTTTTGTAAGGTACTTTTTACTCAAAACTTATTTTTGTATTTTTAGTTTCTTTTGAATAAGAGAAAAACAAAATATTTGTCTACTGTTTTTTTTAAATAAAAGTAAAAGTAAATTAGAAAATGAGAGGGTATATACTTCTAAATAATTTAATATTTTAGAACTAGAGATAAAAGAAGTTGAGACATAATATGTTTCTATTTCCAGGACTTTGGAGAATCTGCTTAAAGAAACTCCTGTACAAATAAATCAAATATTACCAGCAAAAGGTATTGGGGTTTTGCACTTGGCTGTGGGCATAGAACCCATAGAAAAGTCAAAAAAATGCACTGAGTTACTGCTGAAGCATGGAGGAGATCCTAACTTATGGTATGTATACTATGTATGGCTACATCAAAATCTGATGTGTCACTACAATTTAAGTAAAATCAATCTTATGGACATGTGAATATATAATTCAACTTATTTTAAAAAAGAAAACATTTCTTTGTGGCTATCTTTTAAAAGTTCATTAATTGAAAAAGTATTTATTTATATCAAAATATTTTTTTAAATATCTATGTGAGAAATTGTCTAATATTCAAACTTATTGGAATTTTTTAAATTACTAATTCTTCTACCATCATATCATAAATAAGTAGAATAGATGATAAATTATTTATAATACTCTAATACTCTAATATGTAGAAAATGTAAGAGAAGGAGGGTAGATGTGTTAAGGGTTGAGTAAGGGAGCAAACTACACAAGACAACAGCACTGCAAGGAGAAGGAAAACTTGAAACAAGCCCTATACACACCTGTCTGACCAGCGTGGTATAGTAGGCCAAAATCACCTCTCTAAAAAAAGGCCAATGTCCCACAGTGGACTATTAAAGGCTGTTGAAGATGATGTAGAATCATTTTATAATATAATATCGAAAACACTTATTAACTGTCTATTATAACTTTTATCACACCCATCTGATAATTCATAACTTTTAAAAAAATATTTCTAATAATCACATAAATCATCTACATAAAATAATTATCTTGTATGATATTCTTCATCAGCAATGACGATGGCGTAACACCAGTACATATAGCAGCAATATGGGGCAGAGTGGACAACCTTAAGTTGCTCATAGGCTGTGGCGGAGACCCTTCAAGGAGAGACTATGATGGGCATTCAGCCTTTGACTACGCAACCAGAGAAGAACAGTGGGAAGTGTTTGACTATCTACACAATGTTGTAGATGAAACAGATGTTTCATATAGACCCAAATGTGCTTATACATTAGGATTAGGTAAGTAGCCATAATCAAAAATCTTTACTTAACACTAGTTGGTACCCGTAACTTCGTTCGTATGGAATTTGTAAAGCGCTGCCTTAGTGGTGTAGTACTGTACACGACTGTAGTCCATGAGTCCATTCCCGGACCGGGAAAAATATCATAACGTTTTTCTGAGAGGAAATATACCCAAGTTACTCCTTATACAGACAGCTAAATAAAAATCGGCCTAGCCTGTTTGTAGATACTTGAACCAAACAGACACTTCAATTTTATTTATTTGTATAGATTGTTACAAAGATTTTGCCAACAGTTCGTTTATGTTAACAAAACAAAGTATTATTTATGACATATTATTGAGATTTTTTGTTTAGTTGAATCAATTAAGACACAGACCTAGTTTATTGGTCCAAGTACTGCCTTAACTAGAGGGGTGCCTGGGCACAGGCTGGGGCGCAATGCCGGAAGATTGCAACTGGCGCAAAAACGCTAGTTGCGACATTTCCCGTAATGTACGGGAACGCCTATTAACAGGATGCCTTTGCACACAATAAGGAGTACTTAAGAAACGGCATAAGGATTTTCTAAGGTACACCAGAGTCCCCAGGTTAAGACCCTGTTATGGAATATCACCTGGCCTTAGCCACTTGGCATGCGAACGGCACCTTGGTGTAGAAGGACGATGACCTATACGAGTTTCAACAAGCGTACAAGCTGCAATTTGACAAAAAAATAATGAAAAATATTCCTTTTTTACACGATTGCCAAGGAAGAGTTATGTTTTTCGCGCGTATCTTGTATGTATGCATGTAATATTCTTCATTACGTCTTCCAAACCTCTGCACGGTTTTTTTAATTAACATATCGTTAGATTCGTCTTGGTAACCCAAGTGTTCTTAGATAGGTGACTCAAAAAAACAACAACATGACTGTGAGACGCTATAGTTTAAGGTACAAATTTTGGTTTTTTGGATCCTGCAATATGGGTATCTATTTAAAGGGCTCATCATGAGGATTTTAAAATGGTAAATCATGAAAATATTTTAATTTAAAAAGATATGTTATTGCAGTCAGGTATTTGATTTTTTTAATTATTAAAAGTAGGCTACCTATTAAACTGGAAAACTTATTTTGCTTACGTAAATAAGCTTATTTAAATGAGACAAAATTTAAAAGTGTAGTAAATTTAGCAGTGGTAGTATTGGTAGACTCGTTAATCTAATGGTTAAACCTAATCTAAGTAAACAAAATGTTTGTGTTAATAGTGACCTCGGTCGTATGGTCTTAAAATCGAACCGCTGCCTCGTGTCGGGGTCATACTCCGTTGATACTGCGAACAATATGCAAATAATTATTATAAATATCTAAAGCCTCTGCATTAGACCAGGGCCTTAATTCTACTATTTTATGTTAACGCCAAGCCACTGTCATTCCATTGACAAGCTATTGAGATGCCATTGAGGCGCCATTGACATCGGTTTAAATATCAGTATTTTACTAATATAAATTCACAGTGTCAATAGACTGTCGATGTAAATCATCAATGGTGATATCAACAACATTGCCATACCTAGAAAAATTACAAATTTAAAATGTACCGTTTACCAAACTGTTACAAAGAAATAGACGACATTTATATCAGTGATAAGTCATAGGGAGGCCATTGGGCTTACATAGTTAGTAGAATAGGAAAGAGCAAAACTATTCCGACGACATTCTATCGACAGTTTATTCTATATACAATATTAAAATAATAGAATTAGGGCCCAGAGCAGCCAACTGTGTGCGTTGCGACGCATCGCCACGGCAAGTTTTAGACGCAGATTTACAAGTAGAACAAATCTTGAGTCGATCCACGTTTTGAACATATTATTATATTATCTTATAATATTTTTTTCCAAGCTTCACTTTATACTCATTATTTCTAATTTCGATCTGCCAGACTTAGATTTTTAATATAATTTTTACACCAGCCTTTGCCCGCGCCCACGTGTATGTCGGTTATCGCGTGAAAAAGTAGCCTATGTTGTTACACGCTGATAATGTAGCTTTCCATCGTTGAAAGAATTTTTTGAAATCTGTTTAGTGTAAAACAAACTAACTTTCTCATTTATTATATAAGTATGGATATAAAAGTCATCCATAAAAAAATGCATAAATAAAACTATGACAGGAAGGTTTCATTTAAACCTATCATCCATGCATTTATACGAATATTCTAAATCGTTTACAACGCTTGCAATTAACAATAATGCAACGAAAACGTTGTGCCATATCAGTAATATCCGCCGGAAATTCCTGGACTAAATAGGTATTAACCTAATTGACCTTCGAGCCACACACATGAATGCCAGGGCAGCAGGAAGCGCGATATGCAATTGTGAGCTTGCCGAGCTTAAATTTATGGACACGAGCCTAGAGCAATTTAAATTAATGTTCCTAATTTTGGGCTATCTTATTTCCTATTATAAGTTTGCTCGTTTGTTACCTATTCATGGCTAAACTACTCAACTAATTGTTATGAAATTTGACATTTACGTGTTGAGAATGATATAGGCTGACTTTCATCAAGAACTGTTCTAGAGGAATAAAAAAATGTTACCGCGAGCAAAGCCGATGACAAGAGCTAGATTGTTTATAACGTTTTTCGTTTTTAGGTATAACTATGTGTTGATATTATAATAAGAAACTGTAATCAATATATACCTACTTAAAAATACAAGTTAAAACATGTTTATTAATGAATTTAACTGTAGATAAAACTGTACAGAGATAAAAATATCTTACAAAGTATAATGTTTAAAAATAAATGTTTAAATTGTTTTTGTACAATGTGTTCATTAGTAGTAGATTACGAGCGTTATCTAAAATACCTAAACATTCAGGAATTCGCGTCAACGGGGAAATTTTGTGCAAAAACTATTGGAATAATTATTGTTCTTAACGCAATCCATACTTATATTTTAAATGGGAAAGGGTTTTTTTGTGTGTTACGCTTTCACGCCTAATTAAATAAATTGATTTAAAAAAAGGCATAGGCAACTTTTTACCGCGATAACCGACAAACACGCGGGCGGAGCCACGGGCAAAAGCTAATCTATACTAATATTATAAAGCTGAAGAGTTTTTTTGTTTGTTTGTTTGAACGCGCTAATCTCAGGAACTACTAGTCCGATTTGAAAAATTCCTTTAGTGTTAGATAGCCCATTTATCGAGGAAGGCTATAGGCTATATATCATCACGCTAAGACCAATAGGAGCGGAGCACCAATGAAGAATGTTTCAAAAACGGAGAAAATTTATTACTATTGAGAGACGCAGACGAAGTTGCGCGGGTCAGCTAGTACGTAATATTTATAAAAATGTAAGACCGGGATAGTTGGCGCTCCTTCGGGGAGGCCTTCGTTCAGCAGTAGACGGCGATAGTTTCCTCTCGGAACTCTTTTACTCTCTGAGACCCATACTTCAGCACCTCTATAAGCCAAATCAACAGTAGTGATACCAAAGCCTCACAAAAAATCGGTGTTAGTATTTCTTTCATTTACTTTTCACCGAGTGAGAGAGTTATGTGCAGCGATAGTCACTTACGACCAGACGACGCGTCTGCAAGTAAGTTTGTCCTTTTGTCCGTCTTACTGTCCGTGTTTTGAATTTATACTATGTCTTCTCTGACACGTTTCTTATAAAATACAATAGATGGCCTTGAGCCGATCACCTGAATCGCGCTATAGTTTGTTACCGCTCATATTATATAGGGTAAATAAAATTATGTTAACCATGATTCAGAACCCAGTAAACATTTAGCAACATAGTTCTAGTGCTTTATTGTGCCATAAAAAAAAACTTTTAAATCCATGTTCCAGACGAGTAGTGTGTAATTGTGTTCAGCAACGATGTGGTCCATCTATTTCTAATAATAAAATTACTACATGTGCATTGAATCGAACGGACGCTGTCACTTTCAGGCTGAAACACGTGTAAAAAAAGAATGTTCTAACTGTATGGCAGTTACATTTGTACAATTATTATATTAATAGTCTGGCACCATATGTAAGTTATGACGGTTTGTTAACAAAATTCGCAAGTACTAATTTTCGAAATACATTTCAGTATCACTTTTTATTCCGAAAAGTGTAGACCGCGGAGCGCAGCTAGTAGTAATAAAGCCAACATGAGCCTTAAAATCATTAAAATCATTATGATCATTATCACTTCACAATGGCGGCCTTTTATTAGACAAAAAATACGTATTCGAAGTAATTTGGAATCTCGTCTTTTCTTTGTTAGCTTACGAGCACAATTAATTCAAAAATCTTGTCTGGACAAGTCGATCGCGTTTAGAAAAAACCTACTCTTACATTTTGTTTCTGTCCTACGAGATTGATATACAGCCATATAAAAACAGTAACAAAGCGAATTTAAAGTAGAAAACAATTTTAAAATATAAGTAGGTATAGTTTATGTTCTAGAACAGAGATTCCCAAACTATTTTGGGCAAGACGCCCCTTTTCTAAAATCAACTGATACCTCGACTTTTTGAGTTTTTTTTTAAAGTACCACAATGATACTTCCTACTAAAATATTGGTCATCCTTATAACAAGTTGGTACACGTAATACAACTAATACACTATCTTAAAAAATTCAAATAAGAACTTGTGTTATAATTAATGGGGGTCGATTATAGATCTCGTCGACCCCCAAAATCAGTTTTCGTTTTCATCCCCATCACCTGGATAATTGGCGCTCCACCACTGTGCGCTTTTCAAGACACATTTTGCCTAGCACAACTAACCTGTGGAACAAACAAAAAAAAAAACTTCACCGCATTCCGTGATTTCGACTAGAAATATTTGAAAAAATAATTAATAATAATAATAATATTCTACCACATTCACACAACGCCATCTAGTCCCAAACTAAGCAGAGCTTGTACTATGGCTACTAGACAACTGATATAAATACATATATACTTTTTTTTTGTAAATACATACATATTATACATAGAAACACCCAGACCAAATCAAACATTAAATGTTCAAGCACACAAATGTTTGACTTGAGCGGGAATCGAACCCGCGAGCTTTGGAATAGCAGTCCGTTACACAAACCACTATGCCATTCGGTCGTCAATTAAATGTGGTGATCGTAATTCCTTTGTTATTTGTACTTCTGAATGTTTTAGATTAGTAACGTTTACAGTTTGCTAGTGTTTTTTTTTACTTTAATTCATTTTCTTATTTTGTATGCAAATCAAGTTAATGTTTAACTGACTTAATATCTTCTAGAAATATTTTGAACTTGGTTAAAGCCTACCCATATATTTAGTATATTTTTACGATATTACATAAAATACTATATTGTTTACAGAAAGAGTGTTATTGACAACAGACCAAATTGTCGCCGAATATGGGCCGATCGTCGATGATAACGCACAAGAACCTCCGACAGCCCGAAAGTCGGAATTAATTAACGATTGGTGCGAAAATAACAGTCTGACTATTAACAAATTGTACCCAACGATATTAGGCGATACATACCTCATTGATAACGAATCGGCGCCGTGGAAGAGTACTTTTATTGACTTCAGTGATAACATTACCCTCGATCTCACTAAAGATAGAATTTCAAGTGACACAAACGTTAGTTTTAAATCATGTATCTCGAAAAAGCTGACTGACGTAGAAATAAGTGGTATTCAACCTTTGAACTTTACCTTAGATCAAAGTAAATCAGACAGTTCTAACACTTTGAATAAAAGGATTAGTGTTTACGAAAACTTCTCACTGCCAGGATCTCCTCAGACAATAACTCATATCAATTATCATTCGAAAACTAGTTTGAAGAAGAAGAAACAAGAAAATAGTGGTAGCAACGTGATCTCAAATGACTGTTCTCAGGAGTTGGATAAAGTGTTGGCTGTTGTACAGAACAAAACTAATGAATATCTCTGTACGAGTAAGGGAGAGGTAAATAATACTCGAAGGTCTTCTGCCAGTAGTGGGGTGAGCAGTCACTTGTCTGGAGGCAGTATTGTGATAGCGAATGTCCACGAAGAATACAAATATGAAGACAAAGATGAGGATGTTGTACTCATTGAGAGGAGACTTCTTGTGTCGCCTGTTGTGTAAGTATTATATTAAAAAAGCTGTAAGTAAACTGGTGATTGTTCATGGCGTAGTTTTCAAACCATATTACACTTTTTACGATTATTTTTGGTATTTACTTCGTTCCATTTGGTCAGGCAGAAACATCAGTTGATAGCTCCCAAGAAAGTGCGTCTTAGCTGACAAAACCTTTTGCCTCTAAAAAACTATTGTGTTCACGTGACTCAAAGTGACCGCGTACTATCGCTTCTATACAATAAAATTACTAACTTATTATCGCTAATCTATATGTATAATCTTATCATCATGATGGTATATTTAATTATATTTTTAAAATAAGTATTAATAAAACTGTCCTCCTCTGATATAACGAATACTGTGGAGAAAACAACACTTAACACTTACAAAACGAAACTTAAAACGCAAATACGCATTCAATATGAGCAACTTTCTGTAAGCGGCATAAAGTAATAATAAGCCTTTATGTACTACAGGCTTCCCGTCGACGATGGTATGGAATCAGTATCACCAGATCTCACAATAATTTCCGTCGCCTCATCCCTACCAGCATCTGTACAGTACGATGATAACACGCTCAGAGCAGAACTGGTTCGACTCGGATTTACCCCCGGGCCAATACAGAGTACCACGAGAAGTTTGTACTTAAAGAAGCTGCAAGCATTGAAAAAGGAATCCAGATATGAGAATGTCGATAAATTGAGTGACAAGTTGAAGACATTACATGTGAACGATAAACAGCCTAAAAAAAGTAAGTATATATTTTAAATGTTATTTATTTTAATTTATCCACAATGATGTATGTTGAAACTGAATGATTAATTGTGATGTTTAAAAACCTAAAACCATAATTTTAATTTAGAAAACAAAAATAAATTAATACAGTTAATAAAAAAGGCTTCACATCATACATCACATCAACAGCCTATAATAGTCCACTGCTGGACAAAGGCCTTTCCTTAGAAAGGAGGTTTTGGCATACTATACCACGCTGGGACGGTTTGCTATAGGGTTTGTTTCAAGTTTTACTTCTCTTTGTAGTGTTGTTGTCCTGCTTAAACACTCACTATTGTCAAGTTACTGAAAAAAGCAAGTGGATCTATTGCGTCAGCAACTAATTTAGAAGCTTTTTTATAAAAAACTATCAGAAAAAATCCTTTTGTTATGGAACCTAACACGAACGCGTAAAAAGTTCGATCAGCTCTCACATTTTGTAGTCATAGACTAACACTCCGCTTTCTTTATTACGTGTATTTCCTGTGCAGTGAAGATGCCCTTGTTTTCTTATAAAATATAACGCCTGTTATATTTAACAAATTAGAATATGCAACATAACTTTCCTTTCAAATATAATATCACGAGCAAACTTTTTGGTGGAAACTTAAAAATAATAATTAAAGTGTTTAAATATGTCATTTACATTGAAGTTTAAATGTTTTTCTAGGTAGTTTATTATTATAATATTTTTAGTTTTATTTTACATTTAGAATGGTTTTAAAACTTAAATTCCCAAGTATTGTTACTACTAAAACATTGCTAAAGAAAGGTACTTAATACTTTCGTTATTGTGTTACACGCACCCATTCTCACAATCGTGTACACATACATATTCTTAGCAGTGGTATGTGAGTTGTAGTCCCTTTATTCATAGGTTGTTTTACACTACAATTATCACAGTAAAACTGTTTCATTTAGAAAGTATATCTGATAATAGGTAGCAATATTCAGTGCCTAGAATACTTGACAGACATACTATGTAATCAATACTAGTAATCTTTATGTTATTAAGTTATTGTGCTAAATGTGATGTGTGAAGTTTTATCTATGGAAGTTGACGAATACAATAGAAGATGATGAACAAAGCAGAGATGATATAAAAGACAACAATAGCTAGAAAGGGGGTAAACAGTTACCTGTTGAATGATAGCGGAGAATGAAAGAAGAAATGTCTTTGTGCTGACTTAAAAAATATTTAGGAAAACAACGAGATGATGATGTGATTAAAGTTGTTCTTAATAGAATTTTACTTACAGCTTACAGTATCGAAATTGAAAAATGTTTGCGCAATCCTGATTGGATGCTCAATCTAACAAATTATGTGGAGTTGGAAAACAAAGCGCGGCTGGATTTTACCGACAATAAGAAGAAATGGCGCGAGGGAACCGCTAAGACGTCATTCACATACCTACTGTTAGACCCCAGACTCACTGACAACCTGCCAGCTAAGGCTGGGAAGCAGAATCAACATTTCTCTTGGACAACTTTTGTTAATTCTATATTTTACGTTGGCAAAGGTAAGCAATTGAAGTTTTCGTTACTTTAAGGTGACAAGGGCTACAATGCCTTGAATACCTGGTAACACTACGGTCCATGGAGGTTTGCATCCCTACTAATCAACAGGAAAACAACACAACACTGAGAGTGTGCTTTAAAGCCACTGTCACTAATTGGTAGTATAGGGCCTAATTTTTTTTTACATCATAAAATAAGGGTTGGCATTAACTTCAAAATAATCAAGACCATATCTCGATCAGTGGAATGTTGACAAACTGCATAAGTTTAAATAGATAATGTCAATATGGTATTAGAATACTACTGTGTTTATCAATGTACGTACTTTTAGCATAAAATAATCATGATTAGAAACGAATGTCTCACGATACAAGCGAAGGATCCTCCGATCAAGTTTAGGTGATCATGCCTGGCGGACTGCGGCCAAAAGTTGAAGTTTGAAAGTTGTATACTCATACTAAATGGCGTGAGAAATTTAGTTGCGCGATACAGGAATAGTACATACTCCGTAGTTCTTCGTGTTTTTGTTAGATAAGTTTGAACAATGTTTTATGTTATAATACAGAAGTCGCTATAAGTTATTGATCAAATCTTTCTTTATTAATATTTAGGTAAACGCTCCAGACCGTATTCGCATCTATATCAAGCTCTGACTTTGTGGAAGAAAGACTTCAAGACGTCCAAAGATAAGAAAGTCCAACATATATTAGATATCTGGATGGACAAGGTAGGTGTCGTGTGCCTGCACGTGTTTCAGAACGTGATCCCAGCAGAAGCGTACACGTACGAAGCCGCCATGATCGACGCCCTCGGTTTGACGACCTTGAAGAATTTGAAGGTCGGCAATTATTATGGTGCAGTGGCATCGTGGCCTTTGAAGGAACGACGAATGCTCGGCGTCTATCTCCTATATAAGGCTATGCTGATATTCCTCAGCGAAGGTGAGAGACAGCTGCGACCTGAAGACTTAGACTGAGTATTTAGTATTTATAATTGTTGAAAGTTAGAACTTAAAACGGGTTGTGAATATCTTGTACAAAATTAAATGAATTTGGAACATATTTATTTTGAAAATACGTCTAACTTATTGTAAATTATTGTGTTTAGTGTGTATTGTGATTAAGCTTTAATGTTTTTGTATTTAAATTGCCTTTGAAGTGTACCTTTTGTAAAATAGAACCAAAGATTTATACATACTTAGGGTGAAATAATCGGTATTAGTTTTACATTTGGGTTTATGTCATTCTGTTGTTATCTTTGTGTATACTGTACTTATACAAGTGACCACTATTTAGAGTTCAAGTGAACAAAAACCCAACAATTGACGAATATCTTCGTATACAAAAAACCGATCGTTTCATCCTTAAGATATTCAGCCATTGCTGGGCTTAATTGCCTATTATAATAACATGTAAGCCAACAAAGACCCAGGTTTATACCTTAACAATTTTTTGAGAGTCACATTATCACAATAGCTTTCAGGTAAGTTTCCGCTAACAGGGTTATTGTAAGGTTACGTTTAATTTACAGCACAATAGTTAAAACTTACCTGTATCGGTATCGGATCCTATATCGGTAAGTGCTAACTTACCGACACCGTGTCGGTACCTATTTATTTATTATTATTAATGAAAATAAAGTACGCAAATGATAATTTGTATACAAATGCAGCCAGAACTAGTCGACAGACCATTCTACTTTTCCCAATTCTGCCCTGTCTAAATAAACACAGTTTAAATGTAGTGTTTTCAGTTTTATTACGCCTTTTGAGTTAATAGCTTGGTGTAGTAGCTCACGTCAAGTCCTCTTGTGAATGCATATTGTATAGTGACTTCTGTCTTGCCTTGATTAGACTAAAATAGTGGCCGGTGTCGTCTCAAAGCAAATAAGAAATTGATGGTATGAACACAAGACCTTATAAATGCATACAATTAAATTTAGCATAATTTTTACTACGTTTACAACAGTTATAAATCAGTATTTTGTATAATTTATTCCTAGATGTAAGTGTAATTTTGTAATATTTAAGTTACCACAAGCGCACCATGTACAAAAAACACTTGCACGAGATTACCTCATAAGTACCTATAAATTAAACTAATTTCTAAGCTTTTTACTTTATTACCATGTGTTGTTAAAATAACGTGATATAATATGAGAATAGATTAGAAGGGATCTTCTTAAAATGAGCATAAATCTAATTACTTAACAATTCGTAGGTTTTAACAACCTAAATTGCGTGACCTACTTGAAATGACGGCTGTCAACTTTGTTAATAAGGAAATATTTGACTTCTTTGAATCCTACCGAACCACTGACACAGGTTCCAATAGTACCACTTACTAGTAGTACGATAGGTACTGTTTAATTTAGGGCTAGAATTAAAAACGAATGAAATTGATACTCGTAAAATGTATTGCAGAGCAAAAGTAATCTACTACTAAGGCACAATTATAACTTGTGCGTATCGTTATTTTATCAATACATTACACATTTTCCTAGTCACTAATACAGTAGTATTAATGCATAATGTATCATGACAATAAAATTTTACACTTATCTTTCTTCACTTAAACATTAGAAAATAAACATTTTTTTATACATTGTATTTTATTTATTATGCCGCTTGTTCAAGTTTGGGCTAGTGGCTAAAAATATGAATAACAAAAAAAAACGATTCTGATTAAAAAAAAAATATTTCAAAATCAATAACTAATTATGCTAAGCCTTGGGTTCGATTCCCACCCAGAACAAATAATGTGATGAGCACTTTTATTTGTTCTATGGCTGGCTGTTATTTATCTAGAATATGTATGTATTTAAAAATAAGTATGTTTATTAGCAGTCTGGTTACCATAGTACAGGCTCTGCCTAGTTTGGGATCAGACGGCTGTGTGAGATGTGTGAAGTTATTATTATTAATTCTGTTTAAAATAATACTTAGAATGTCGCATGAAACCTTTTGCACTAAACGTAAATTATTATATGTACGACGCTGAAATTCTACAGGTAGACAACTGAACTAAACAACTAATTATTGGCATAACATTCAGTTTATATATCCACACACAGGTTTATCGGTGGCCAAAAAAGGCCGCACACATTGTGATCGTGAACGTGGAGAGCTACATTTCATCATAACTTTTTAGTCACTTATAGTATTCTTACGAAAATTCGTATACATTTGAAGGTAGTTACAAGCAATAGAATAACGTTTGAAGTAAGTCTTTAGAGGTCTTATTTAAAGTGTTAGGACGTATTGAAGTGTTTTCATACTTACCTAAATAATTTTTAAACGGTCCATTATTTTTGTTATTTTATTGTCGAACAAATTAAAACTAATCCTTAAGAAGTTATGTACAAAAGATGGTTACAATCCGCTTACCCGTTTCAGAGATCCAGCAAACCCACAAACGTTACTCCAGCAGGATTTCGAATAACTTCGCAGCCGAAGAAAATACAAATACCAAATAAGTTGTAACATTTACCTAGTCCAGATAACTAATTATCTAGCTAAAATTTATTTCAATATTACAATTAAAAAAGAAAATGTCTGGCTGCGGTAACGTTTCAAACGTTACCCCAGCAGGAAATGTTTTTTTGAAATAACTAAAAAAGTTTAAGAGAAACAAATTTAAAAATGTGCCTAACAATTACAGAAGGGGAGCAACTAATTATCTATAACGTTTAAATGACAATTTTCGACATTATTTTGCTGGGGTAACGCACACCCCTAAGACCAATCAGGTTCGGACCAATCAAATTAAGGTTTAGTACGAAAGCTTGGAACCTGATTGGTCAGAATGTGGTACTATTTTCTTAATGCTAATGGACTATAGTGTGACACATTAGTTTAAAAAAAATGTACGTATAAAAAAATCGACATTAATTGTAACATAAGTGACCAGTGATCCAGGCCAGATTCACTACAAAGTAAATTTTTAAATTCAATATGAATAAAATTTCAAGGTTTCAATTTAAGTCAGTCATGAGCTTGATTTTTAAGTTCAAATACAAAACTTCAAATTATTTACCTTACTGAATGTTGAACCTTTCCAAACCCGTAGCCCTTGCTGACCAAGTTTATCTTGACTTATAGCGATGACATCAGGATTTAATAAGATTGCCTTAAACTCCGGCTTGATGCTGGCTAGGTCTACGCTCATCATAAGAGGACTGGCCAAGATCGCCCAGACCGCCATCTGAACTTGTGCTTGATCTACTGTTAGTCCAGAATTACCTATCACCAACTGGAATGAATTTCATATTATCTACCTACTACAAAAGAAATGGCACATAAAACTTAACGGCTATAAGCAGAACTGCTTTATGTTATATGTTGTATGATTTACGTGAATGAAGTTGAAATGGTGATCTATCACCATTATATCAAACCTATTCTTAAAAATATTTCCCTTTTCTCACTAGTTCAATTGTGTTATCAAACAAAATAATGAATTTAAAAATAATTCTACTGGAATGATTTCGTTTATTTTGCAAATAGGTTACAGGAACACTTTATATCAAAATTTTTAACTTCATTTAAATGTTTTACACATTTCGTTCGTTTAAATTAAGGATACGGAGTGTCACCACCCATCCCATCCCCACCCATGTTTATCCCGTGAGTGTCGTAAGAATTGACTAAGGAAGCAAACTACGCAGGACAACAGCAATGCTAAGCGTAGTTTAGTAGGCCAAAACCGCCTTTCTATGTGCAGCAGTGTACTATTAAAGGGTGTTGATGATGATGAAACAAGCGTTTATAATTTTTTCTTTAAATTTAGTAGAATTAGGTTTTAATTCATTATTTAGTTCGACGGTCGAACAAATGAGAAAAAAAATCTCACTGGTTCGACGATGGAACGAACAAAACGAACTAGTGAGAAGTCAATATTTCTGTCTGTCTGATGATAGACCAATCCTAATATAATGTGACTTGAAAATTTTCGTCAATATTTATCATCTCACACACAATAACCTATTTGGGCAACTCAAAAAAAGTTATACCATGTCTGGATCACTGAAATGTCCTGGTCCGGTATACGGTGCTATCCGGTTCTGGTTGTTGCCGAACCAAGACATTGTCTTCAGCACAGATTCCCAGGAATTACTGATGTCGTAATAATTTCTCCATATGTTGCAGTTTTTACCTACTTCACTGTAGTTTGGCTGTGAATACAAATTGCTTTAATAATCACATTGGTGATGTTATTTTAAACATTAACGTTGTTCCTTTAATTTCTTTAGTTTCTAGTTTTTACCAAACAGTAAAAAACACCTAGAACGTCAGAGATGTTACTTCATGTTCATGTGTGTTCATTCTGAACCGAACTGACAGTGTAGTTTCCTCGGAAAAAACTGAGACCCAAGGGCAAGATAACGTTTAATGTTTTAGGAAATTCTTCTATTTGGAAGAAACTTTGCCGGATCTACCGTTTGTGTTGCTATAGATTTTGAGCTACCTGTTTACATATAATGGAAGACAAAGCGTGGGTAGGCCCTCCACAACGTGGTCCGACGACCTGGTGAAGGTCGCGGGAAGCCGTTGTGATCCGGTCAGCACAAGACCGGTTGTTGTGGCGAACTTTGGGGGAGGTCCATATCCAGCAGTGGTCGTATTTCGGCTGAGATGATAATGATGATTACATATAATGGAAGAGTTCATCGATTTGTTTACCCGATTTGCTTATTTTTTAATTAAGAATAAAATATCTCAAATTCTGCGATGATCAAAGTAACAAAAAATATTGTTTAGAATGTAACTTTCGCTCTGTAAGTTGCAAATTATCTGATTACCTCCTTTGGTAAAACAACACCTGTGAGAAGACACTAACCTGAATATTGTTAACTTCCTGAAAAAATGGCCAGCTGCACGCATAGAGGATAGGGCGGCCAGTTATGTTCAACAGTCTTCCGAATTCAGGATATGCTGTAAAATATACGACGGGCCTGTTGGTCTAGTGGTTAGTGACCCTGACTGCTAAACCGGAGGTCGTGGGTTCGATTCCCACCCAGGACAAATATTGTGTGATGAACACGGTCATTTGTTCTGTGTCTGGGTGTAATTTATCTATAATATGTATGTATTTAAAAATATATAAGTATGTTTATCAGCAGTCTGGTTACCATAGTACAGGCTCTGCCTAGTTTGGGATCGTCTGATCCCAAACTAGGCAGGCCGTGTGTGAGATGTGTGAGAGAGAGATATTATTATTATGTAAAGAATATTTGATAAAGCTTACGGGTTACTGAGATGATGTATGAGTAAGATGTTATGTTATTGATTATCAGATGACAACGGCATTTTAATGCAGATTTTAGAGGCAATTTTAAGTACGGAATAGGGCAACAAGTATTTCCCAAGGATATTCTTTAAAAGAATTTGATACACTGCGTTGTGTTCTATCTTAGTTCCACGTGTTATCACCTTTTGTTATTGTCCAGCCGGTTTAATCATATAGTAATAATACTAATAAAACCGAAGAACAGAGAGGCCCCCTTCGAAATACTTCACATCAACTCGATTGAAACGGTGATCTCGTTCGGCGTTGCATGTGGCCTGCGCTGAACTCTTCACCAATCGCAGCGCCAAATAAACGATAATAAGCGAAATAAACTCGTACTAGGCCGTCAGATAGGCGTTTTTGTAAGAGCTGTGAAACTCATTTCTGTCACACTGTGATAAAGAAAAGACTTCATTCGATTCCCAAACTAGCTATCTGAACTCCCCTGTAACATAATATCACTAATCCGCATATCATAAGTTTTGTAATCTGTATTTCAAGAAAAAACTGAAGTTTCTAATAGGATATTTAAAGATTTAGTAAACGCAGTAGATATTTTTGCAAAATCACTATCAATAAGTGTAAGTGGTATCAGGATCAGTCCTATCTCAAAAATATGACGGCATACCTTCACTCATGGTGTGAATATCAGTGTGACAGCCGTCCAGTTTTAGGTAATCGATGTTCCACGAGGCCAGGGTGTCAGCGTCTATTTTCTCGTGACCCTCCACACCAGGGTAGCCTGCACAAGTAGAGGAACCGTAGTCCTCATAGATACCGAATTTTAGTCCCTTTTTGTGTACCTTTAGATAAAAAATTAAGAGTAAAGTTTGTGTAAAATTATATGGGTGCAGTATATAAATGTTAGCCTGTCATGTTAAAAAAGTGTAGGTATATAGGAGGAGTTTCAGCTATAATGGTTAATTATAAAAGAAGACATTTAAACCGTCAGGCGATCTGTAGTAAAAAATATTTAATCCTTGTGATAATCTCAATTTTTAGTAATGGGTATCTTTAAAATATTTCACGATTTAACGAAGTTAAAGTATCACAGGTTGTAATTTCATAAAAACACAGTAAAATAAATTAACTTAACAGTTAACTGTCGCATTGTAATACATCATCATTGTCAGTAGCAGTAATAGACATACCTACCTAATAGACGTACCTGCCTACGTAAAATCTAAAAGGTGATCAAATGGTGATCGACTGCACGGATGGCGTATTGGTTTAAGCGGTCACCTCGTCGCTTCCTACTGCGCTGAGTGTTTAGGGGTCCGATCCTCACATGGAATAACACTTTGTGTGATACACAAATTGTTGTTCTGTGTTACGATTCACCGGCAAATGGTTGATTTAGTTGTGGATTCAATTTAAAAAATCTTCGGAATGGAGATTTTTCCACAGGCATTTTCAGAACATGCCATCAAAATCCTTGGTCTTAAATACTTATAGTTTTAGTTTTCTTACTTTCTAAGAATTTACCGTACCTATCGATAGAATTTTTACTTCAATTTGTTAATTTCAAGCTAAAATTGCCGCATTAAAATGAGAATTTTTCTCAAAATTATTGGCGTTGTACGTTATATTTAGCTATCGTCCTGTAAACTTAGGCTCACATATTCCGCTAGAGCTTTTATCCCACTGGGGAATCGTTTGCGATCTGCCACGAGACGACCGCCAGGCCCCCTCTGCTTCTCCAGCCAGCAATCGTCTATGGTAACGTACTCGTAGCCCGCTGCTAAGTAACCCTCGCTTACCATCAGATCTGCTGTTCTCATGATTAAATTTTCACTAAAAAGATAAAGTAAGTATGGAATAAATTAAGATCTCTGGGCTGGTTGCTCTTTGCGATCAGCTCTTTATTATCTCTAACTGTAAAATTGGAATTTTATTACCTTATGCATTCCGTAGGTTGACTGTCACAGTCAATAGTACATCCAAACCGAAGCCATGAGAGCCATCCCATAGGAGGAGTTAATGCCAGGCCATTGTCCAGCGATTCAACCGAGCATAACACACCAAACAAGAACAGAAATATCGCTGGAACGGACATCTATAAAAACTTTTAAAAATATAATAATAATAATTTTACACATCTCACACACGGCCTGCTGGACCCAAACTAGGCAGAGCCTGTACTAAGATACTGCCAGATTGCTGATAAACATACTTATATATTTCTAAATACATACATGCTATAGATAAACTACACTCAGCCGCAGAAAAAAACAATCGTGCTTATCCCACAATTATTTGTCCTGGGTGGAAATCTAACCCACGACCGGCTTACCGTCAGGGATAGTTACCACCAACAGGCCAGCCAAATATATTTCTCGCATTGAGCGTACAATCCATGTTTGTTATGTGTCACTAATAGAAGGCAAATTGTTGAAAATCTAAACATGTAATTTAAAGTTGTTATATGTGCATGACTAAATTTTGTTACTATGATTTTTGTAAACTCAGAATGTGAAGATTCTAAATAGAGATCTGATAAGCATTTAATAAGAGGAGGTGTTTTTTTTTTTTGCTTAAAATACAATCTAAAGCAATGATTCCAGGTTCGATCGAATTAGGTTTTGAAGGTTCACCTTCAAAAGGTGAACCTTCGGTATATGGAGTAGCCAGCGCGAACGAAAAACAAACATTTACACAATATACAATACAAAGTTGCATGCATTTACATTTAAGCAAATGTGCACTCACACTGTTACTCACAAAATACAAAGAGAGAACAATTTATGCCTAAACAGCGTAATTTAACTTGATGTACAGCATGGTAACCCGCATAACTATAGTAATGTTTCTTTTTTGTTATAAGATGAGATTGTTTTTTATATTAATAAAGATATATAAATATATATAATATATATTCATATACATTTATATTTTCAGTTTTGTTAATTCATAATACGAGAAACTTACCGTGTAAATGTTTCTATGGGTAAAGAATTATTATGTTATCTACCGCTTTTATAAACAATCACAAAAAAAAAACAAGTACACGGTTTAAGCACCCATCCTTTCGGACAGTATTGAAAACAGTACTGTTCGAGTATTCAGATAACATGAAAAATATATCGTGTCTGTTAATGTAGTGAAGCGATAAAAATACATTGTTATTAATAAACAGATGCGTTTATAATGATAAACATAGTGGCAGCCGGTATATAGAGAGTTATAGAAAGGTTTACTTAGATAAATTTTACCAATTTTTTAATTTCTACTAAAAAAGTATTTGATTCAGATTGAAAAGAAATGGATTGAAAAATCATTTTAATGTAAGTATTTCAAATAAGCCATAGAAGCACTCAAAATCATTTTAATGTAAGTATTTTAAATAAGCCATAGAAGCACACAGCTAAACAACATTTTAATTGTTTGGTTTTTTGGTAAAATATATTCTTTTTATAAATATCTTCTTTAAATCACTTTCTTCCTGCGAAAAACTACGGTGACTTTCTTTAATCAATCATGATATATGCGTAATTCTTCCTGATTGTTGCAGGTATTCTTAAAATATGTATGTAGTGTAGTGCTTATTGTCCACTTTATGGCCACTTGCAATCAAAAGAGACTTGGGCGTATGTAAGAAAGTGGTATGTTTAAGGGTTCATGCATACTAAATTCAGGAAGGCCATACATTAATTTACAATGGATGAAAAAATCGCTTTTCCTTTTCTTTTTTTTATGATAGAGGGGGCAGACGAGTAGACGGGTCACCTGATGGAAAGTGATCATCTCCGCCCATAAGCGTCTGTAACTCAGGAGTAAAAAACGCGTTGCCGGCCTTTTAGGAAGGAGTAGGTACGCTCTTTTCTTGCAGGTTTACAACGAGGTCTTTACAACAATTCATTTTAAAACCACCATGAAATTTGGAATTTGGACGATTACACCGGTATTTGGAGGTATGTATACTTCCAGTTCTCCCTTCTTCCTTTCTTTGACAGTTAACTTTCTTTACAGATTATAATAAATTTTAAGTTGGCTTGTGTGCGCTTCATAAACTCAAATAGTTCTGCACCGATTGCGCTCAAATTTTAACATGATATACAATACCTGCTTCAAAGATTTGTTTACTATTTTTTGTCAGTTTAGTCAGTTCTTTCCTCATTTCCCGCAAATACAACCACAATGGATGGAGTGTTGTGGGTTCGATCCCCACATGGGACAAGACTTTGTGTGATTCACAAATTGTTGTTCTGAGTCTGAGTGTTTTTTGTGTCCGTTTCATGTATGTTTGTAAATACTCCGCTACCCAGGACATATTCCTAGTGCGGAAGTTACCTTTAAAGAAAAGGACCTTCGCGAAGCGTTAAAATAAACGATTGAAAATACTCTAACTCATAAATTCCTTAAACGATTAGAAAATGGCTGATATTCTGATAATGATATAAACATTCTCCATCAAAATCACAAAGAATCTTGTCTTTAAAAACAAATAAAATTAAGTTCAGTCGTCGTGGCCTACAGACACACGCCATGCTTTTTACGTCGGGTTTAAAAAGGTTTGCTCTAAAATCAACAACAGGCGCTTGTATTCTATTAACAATACTGTACTGTGAATATAATTAGTTATGATAAAAATAACTTGAGTTTACTATTACTTCACTTCAAGCATGGATTCTATGAGAAAGAGATACAGAATGATACACTACCGCACCGCTTATTTTTAAATTTATAGATATATATAATAGAGTTCAATAGGCACTTTATTATTAATTATTCGGTTTCCATTTGTTATTTCTGTATAAAAAACAAAACAGCTACGTCTACGCCAAAATTGTGAATTAAATGTTCTTTATTAAGTATCTTTTTTATATTGATGTGTTCTATAAATAAATAGTTGTGATTTAGCAATCAAAACTGTTGTGAAAACATGCACTATGCATGTAGTGTTACTTGACCACATTGAAAAGATTTTCAAAAAATTCAAGAACTGAGGAATCCGTAAAAAGTTCATGTAAAGAAAAAATGCAGAAATCTAAAATTTTTAAACAATATTGTTACAAATTAAAAAAATACTTGAAAACGGCTATTTCAAGCTCTAAGCGTCCGCAATGGTCAAAATGTGACATGCGGGTAATGGTCAAAATGTGACATGACAGTTATGGTCAAAATGTGACATGCGACACTACAGAATACATTTAATTATAGTTAACTGCCTCGGTGGCGCAGTGGTAGCGTGTGCGACTACTGTTCTGAGGTCTCGGACTCGCTTCTCGACTCTGCAAATATTTGTTTCGGAGTTTGGGTGTTTTCTTTGTATAATATGAATAGATAGTTTTTAGTGTAAGATAATTATGTTTGTAATGAGTAGATAAGTAACTACTAAACTGTAGTATGTTAGATTATATTACATATAGTTTAATAAGTCCGTTACTTTATTTAGATAAGGTAGTAAGATGTTACATTTGCACCCGAAAATATATTGTTTTCCACATTGTTTATTTTTTCAAAACTAGGAGTGGTATTTTTTTCTAAACATTTAAATAGATCTAAAAGAGAAATATACCCTTCCATATAAAAAAAGAATTTTCATAATTTGTTTACAAATGAAAGAGTTTTGAGGTAACAAATATGAAAATAATTGATTGATGAAAACAGTTTTTTATCTAAATGTTTTATAATCTCATTTCTTAATCTCTTGTGCACATATCTCTTTAACCCCACACAAACACCTAACAAATATCTTGAAAGAATAAAACAAGGTCAATACATGATTAGATTTTGGAAAGAGTTATTTTTTAACTCCTAAAGTTCAAGGATCCTTCCATCATCAGCCGATAAACATGACAAAACGACTACTAAACGCAAATACTTTTAAAGCTAGAGAAATAAGCTAAAACACATTGCCGGACATGTAAAATTTAAGGGGTTTCTTTGATTTTTCTAGGATCCCATCATCAGATCCTGATTCAGTGGTAATGGGAAAATATTTCAAATACAAAAAAAATAATTAAAAATCGGTTCACAATTGACGGAGATATCGCATGACAAACATACAAAAAAAAAACAGATGAATTGAAAACCTCCACATTTGTGATTTAAAGTCGGTTAAAAGGACGATTGTTTTAGCTACGTATTAATAATTACTTATAAAATTCAGCTGGCAAAACCTGAGATATAGGCACCAGCTACCTTAAAGTGACACAGGGTTTTTATACATAGTTTTATTATAATTTGCCCTGAACAAGTTATAAACGAAATTACTTACAGTTTGTCTTCTTACTTATCATAGACAAAGCTTTTTTTCATGTTGTGTGTACTCATATATATTCATAACATAGGTAAGTGCAGCGTTCAGGTAACTCGCTGTCTTCTGTTCGGGTAGTGGATTCAATTTAAGCATATTTTTTTGTTATTATGTTCTACTTCAAATTAAACACAATTAATGTAAATTCTCATAAACACTTCGTACTTTTATTTTGCTTGTTATGAAAATAAGGTTTGAGTATTTTGAATGTTAAGCGCAAATATGCATGTCATGGATGCTTTCTGTGTTTGAATAAGCTTTATCGGTAATTATATTTTACAAGCATTTTTATTAGCAATATGTGGGTGTACTAGCAATACACAAATGGTTATGTTGATAAAATTCTATCGGTTTATAGGCATTATTTCCAACAGTTAACTTTACATTTATTATAGCAGTTGAACACATTTGATTTACCATTAATATGTATAAAATTATTACTCAAAACACACAGTACAGACACATTAATTTATTGTTACACACATATTAAATAATAAAAATAATATTAACGTACACTCTCATGGACTACCAAAGAGCTTATAAATATAGAGGAAGCAAACAAGGCGCTATCGCATACAGTTGGTACTCGTAGAAAGGGATAGAAGATTGTTTTGGTCTTGCATCTCTCTCTGCTCTTGTCACTGATGACTCTTCAGTATCAGCCAATTAGTGAAGAGAGGAGACAGAAATGCAAAACATAACAATGTTCTTCATATGTCTAACAGTCATAAGCTATCACTTACATACTTTTTTGCGGTCTCCACTCAAGAACTCGTTTTCGCTAATCCGGATCGCGTCTCGGCCAACGTAGTGTAGGACGCCCACAGGCCAGGGCCACATTTTAAATTGGTAAGAAAATAATATATTTAATTTACCAGGTATGGCAATGTTGTTGCTATCATCATTGATGACCTATGTTACTATATCAACAGTCTATTGACACTGTGAAGTCATGTTAGTAGAATACTGATATATTAACCGATATCAATGGCGTCGCAGTGGCATCTCAATAGCGTGTCAATGGAATGACAGTGGCTTGGCTTTAACATACAATAGCAGAATTGAGACCCAGGTGGAGTGACGATTTGCGCAAGATGGCTGGCAGGAGCTGGAGCAGAAAAACAGAATTTACCAACGTCTAGATTACAAATGCATGCATCAAGCCCCTATGTCATGTCTATAAAAATATACATTAAATTATCCAACAATATTAAAAATGAAGAAAAATTTAAAAGATTTTTTAATACAAAAATGCTACTATCATATAAATGAATATCTAAACGACAAAGAACAATTGCAGAAACATATTTACCTAAAACTCAAGCGTTTAAAAAATTGACTCACAGTAAACTTAATAAATATTCTTTCTATGATTTAACATTACACCACCATGTCTTGCATAATAGTCCAGGCACGTTGAATATGGAGAACAAACAAAATGTTATCCAGAAACCTACGTTTTTAAATGGTTAAAAGGGTTAAAGTCAACATAAGGAAACTGTGTTATGTGCCCAAGAAAGTTAGGGGATGATTTTAGGGGTTGAAAAGGGGTGAAAATAGATACATCTCGTGTTTTTTGCAATTTCACGCGAAATCTGATGTCCTACTGAAAAATGTTAAATTCAAAAGTTGTAGATCTTGGAAAAATCTACAACTTTTGTATTGGTCATTTTTTAATATAACCTCAAAATTTCAGAAAAAATGCAAAAAGTAATAAAAAATTTTTTTTTTTGTTTTTTACTTGTCAATTTCTCAAAAATAAATATTTTTTAACCAAACTTGCTGAAAGTACTCCTTTTTGTGTCCCAAACCTTATGTGTGTTTCCTTATGTTGACTTTAACCCTTTTAACCATTTGAAAACGTATGTATCTGGATAACATTTTTCTTTTTTTATCTCTGTAAATGAGTCAATGTGCCTGGACTATAAGTCTTATAAGAGATCGGATATTTTGGTCAGATTCGCCATCACGTATAACCGACCAGGGATGCGTGATGGCATTATTATTTTATGGAACATTTTATCGATAATCGATTTTTATAGCTTTGGCTGAAATATCTGCCGAAGGTTCACCTTTTATGATTATGAATTTGCCCCTGCCCACGGGTTCACTCGCACGGTCGCACTCGTCACGGAGAGTGACTAAATCAACATAATTAGAAATAATTTAGAATATTTTTGACTCTTTTTAAACGATTTTTGCTAGACTAAATTAATAGAATATAGTTACGTTATTTTAACAATGTTTGCAGTATAACAATATACTGCACAGTGTGATGAGAAAAAGACATTGTCGGTAAAAACGACTCATAAATAGACATACTCGTACATCGATATTTTCAAAATGTCGATACGACGCCGTTTGGATCCTGTCGAGTGCCGCACTCACCAGTCTTGTCGTTTGACACTCACACGCATGACCATTGCTTACACGGCAATGGTTTGTTTTGTTGTTTTATTTTTGTTCAATTTAGGTGCCATGTTTTTCATTTCGTATAGTGTTACCACGGTACGTGGTGTTACTCTGTTATGCATGATGTGACTCAATATAGTGGATGCATGCTTTAGATTTTAGTAAATAATGTAACAACTACTAGCTGTCCAATTACTAAATAAATAAATAAATTGCTTCTGCCTTGTGTAAATGTGTATTGAAGTACAATTATTCGAATTATTATTTTTAATTAATTAATTTATTTATTACACCTGCTTAGTGAGCGAAGACTTTTTCTATTGTTTTACTATGTATTGATAAAATAACCTGCACCCTTTTAGAGAGTCGGCTAACACTTTCAACAGCAAAATAGAGTTGTTTATGAGTAATAATAATGAGAATAATATTTTCGGAAATATGAGACACAACGACATCTAGTTTCAGACAAAACTTAGACAATATGTTAGCAGTACTTAACCTCGAAACATTCAAACTACAATTTTTTTTTTCTAGACTTCTTTCGCTAGTAATTTTGTTATGAGAAGGGTCAAGAATAAATTCTCAAGTGTTTTAGGCATTTTTGATATTTAAATGCTACCATTTCAGTTCAAATAAAATTATGTATGGGGACCTGCCATTGTCCTTTGAATAATTAAAATAATATATAATTAGAAAATAAGTTTAATAATTTATATTAATAGATATGTTATCTATAATTTGGGTCATTATCAGGAGACTCATTATTTGGTTGACTTCGGTGGCAATGTTTTTTTTATTTCGGCTTTACTAATATGAAATATCAAATCTAGAGTTAATTTAAAACATATTAGTAGTCGAGGGAATCGTATAGACCGAATGGAAATGAAGGGATTTAATTTTTTTTTAAATGTGTCCACCGAAATCAATATTCTTATCACCGAAATCAAATATACTAAATAATTTATATTTGAAACACTGTTTTTTATATATATTGTTACGAGCGGGGTGATAAAATTAATAAAAGTTGTCGGTTAATTACCTTTATTACACTGTACTTACAAAATACTCACTATAACACACAAGAAATCACTATATTACTTGTTATTCGCACAAAAATCAACTTTGGATAGAAGCGTACAATTATTATATTAAATGTAATTAAAAGTAATAGGTAGTCTTAAACTAACAATACAGGAACTTAAAAAAAATCTGAAGTCTTATTTGACATCTAGCTTAATCACAGACAATTTACTTATTGATATAAAATAACTCAAAAACCAGTCTTTAAACAACATCAACAATTATAGAAGGCACATAACTAATAATATTTGTATTTTTATTAATTTTAACACAATTAAATAAGCTTTTAGGTGTATTAAGCACCCAGCATTAAATTAATTATAATTTTGTATTACAGTTTCCAATCCTTAATTAAAAAATGTTATATTCCTCGTCACTGCTTTCTTTAGAATCTACAATTTTGGAGAATACTTCATTCATTACTGCCCGAGCAATATTTTCACAATCTGTCGACACACGCGTCCAGAAGCTGTCACTTTCATGCAATCCAATGTCGGATGTTAAGGTATGCGACAAGCGCTGCTTGGTTTCGGAGCATTCGTCAGCAAGATCAACATGATAGCTACTTCCAGGTTGAATCAAAATATTAGATAAAATTTGAAGTTTTTTAGATTTTGCTGCACCGACTCCGCTACACTTTAGGGCTTGACTTGACTTTTTGATCAGATCGATCTTGTCACTCTTGTTTTTGTTGGTTCTATCAGTCAGCAGTCGGTTAGTTTGCTCGCCTATGATGTATAATCCTACATGATACCATTGTTCACACAACACTGAATTATTTTTACATTCACCTTCGGCGCAACTCATTTTTCTCATTGATAGTTGGTTGGGCTCATTGGCGTTCCACACTGCCTGATGAACTTTCATAGTCCCTGCAAATTGCTTGAGATCGGATGGAATCAACAAATCTTTTTCATAAATACCGGAATCGTTAATAGTTTTCGTTATAATACCTTGAACAGATTTCAGATGAGTCATCAAAGATGATAAGCTTATGATATCATTGCCTTGAGCAACTATTCTATCAGCTGTTCTTTTAAGGGTTGCACCGACACCATCTGGGGCTCCTTTTCCATGGCCGCTTTCTGTATAATTCCATGTTATCGCAGTCAAACTGGGAAGGTACCAGTGGAGTTTGCTGATGATATAAAACATTTTACGGTTTCGGTACTGGCCCGACGGAATATCAGAAATGAAATGGAGAATTTTAATATTAAGATTTTCATCTTCGATGAATTTTAAAATTGGCAATAAATGCTCCCAAATGGCTGGCGCATCATGGCGTAAACACTCTGATAAAGTACATATCGACTGAACTTTCAGAAGTTCATTTTGACGATAGTAAATGACCACGTTGTGCAGGATTATTTGTTGGCGGTTACCCCCGAAATGAATGGCTTGAATTTCATTACCGTACTTTGTGCTGTAATTTTCACTAAAATCGCAGTGAATTATGCACTCTTCATCAGTGAGATCGCTTTTCATTTTTTTAATGAACCTGTTCTGTGCGATCATAACTCCACAGTGAGTCATGTATGGAGGTAACATTTTTTAAAATTTTAAAATGATGTCTCTAGGGAAAGCATTCATTTTATCCTTCGCTGTGTGAATGGTGGTTTTTGTAATTCCATTCTTAGAATAAGTTTTTTTACTTTTTTGCCAAATCCAGTAAAATAATACTTCAGCGTTATTGAATTCTTTATAGATTAAGCTTTTATCTTTGCAGTCATTGCATTTCCTTGTTAAACATGACACATTCGAAGAGTCACAGCACAGAGATGATAAAATGTCTTTGGTAGATTTTTCTTGAATTAAGTTGTTTTTTTTAACGCACTCACCATTAAGTCCATATTTTCGTGTTCAATACAAAGACAGGTTTCTCGTTTATTTACAGCAGGTTTCAGTATCTAAAACGGTCGTTTTTTGCAAAAACTGGAGTAACTAATTTTGTTTGCTTAAACTTAGTATATAAGTCTTTTAAAGAATCATTTAAGTAGCGTCTTTGTTTTTTATCCTTTTTCTTAGTAATGAACTCCTTTTTTCCAGAACACATACGACTGTTTTCATCTTCTTCAAGAAAAGTTTTAATGTCCTCTTCTACATTATTTTTAATTGTTTTTATAGCGTCTGATTCACTTTGTTGTTTCATATTTTCTTAATGCAGCACTTTGGTGTTTTAATCTATATAACTGTTTTCGTTGTCGTTCGTTGATAGTCTTCAATTCATCAATCTTCTTTTTCTGTAACTGATACATTTTGTTCATGCGGTATTTAAGTCTACGTATAATAACTTTGGTATTTAGTTTCTTGTTAGCCTTTGGAGTTGGAGGAAACTCCTTTTCAATTACACGAACTGATGATCTGGTACATGGCCTTGAAATTGTACTGACGTCACTACACGGACTCAATGGTGCTGCCAAGTCTCGATAAGCCTTAACACGCTGAGGTAAAGGCGATGAAACGACCGATGAACTTGATGGTAGCAAATCAACATGAGACCTTGCTTCAGTTTGAAGTGATCCTGATCGTTTTGGTTGTGATCGTGAAGTAACCAAAGGATCGTCAGTTTCGTCGGTTGCTTCTGGTACAATTATTAAATCCTCTTCAAGACACCTCATCCCTTTGCGCCTTTTTTTCAAATTGTGTTTGTTGGAAGACATTCTACTTCTCTCCCTAAAAATTCGTTGTAGGCGAGAATCTAATTCACTTACAGTCTTTATCTTTCCTTCATTCTTCCTTTTAAAATACCGTTGCCTATCTTTCTCCTTGTGCACTGCGTAAAGCTCTGGATCACTCTTGATGCGAGCTTTCCGAAGTCGTTCAGCCAATCTCTTTTTAACCAACCGATCTTCTTTTGAGTCTGCCATAATTACAATACTGAAACAAGATGAGAGGTGCTGAGAAAGTTAAATACACGATCTTAAAATGTAAATAAATGACTATCAATTGATTTCGGAGATTTTAAAATTGATTTCGGTGCACCTTTTCCCACCGAAAACACCGAAATCAATGCCACCGAAATCAAAATAATTAGCAAAATCCTAGATATTTTCAAAAGTAACCCGATTTTTTAATATTAATCTCTTTTATTTAAATCGTATACACATAAGACATACTTTGATTATAATTTAAAAATATTTATTCAAATAGATGTGGACAAAATGGATTCACCGAAATCAATTTTAAGGGTATACCAAGCCACCGAAAATAATTACGTACCTTAATAAAAGAGTGGCGCGAAGACGCACAGACGTGTTATCCTTACCGCCGATGCAGCGCAACTGACAGTTTGTATTACCCGAACAACTATTCTCGAAGTCACTAGATTGTAGGATATATGAACCGATCGGTGCGTGCCACTGATGATATCAATTCCAAACGTCGGACGTGAAGACAACCAGTTGTAACTTGTCTACCAAAGCCTATTATGGTGTGGAAATATTATGAATTGAGTTAATAACTATCTAGTTGTTTGTGAACACATGCAAAACAGCGTCATGTATTAGGGAAAAAATTAATTTCCGTCGCAATATGGGGCCGGACGCGGCACCGAGGTCAATATTTTTAAGGTTTTTATTTTTTTAAACGAACTTTAATATAATTTATTAAAAAAATAACACAGACCCCTCCTAATATTTTGATCGTACCTGTTGTAGAAAAAAATATCAAGTTGTTAGTTATCCATTTAGTACTTAATTTCGACCCGGACACGCTTATTTGAGGCGTCTGAGAATGACCCTAGTTTTAAATTGAAACATATTTCATGAGAGGACTATGAGACACACATCCAGAAGAAAGGTGTAGCACGTTGTGTAAAAACATGGCAATAGAAAACATGAAGTGTAACCAAGTTTACAGCGTAAAGTGTTCTTTTAGCACATAAAATTGCTTGCATTAACACTATATATTAATCATACCTCATTATGTTACAACTTTCCAAAAACGAATAAAAAACATCAACAACAAACAGAAGTAATAGGCAAAAAATTATTAGATTGCTATTGCACATTACTATTTAATGTCACATCGAAATTCTTTTACGAAGAATACTGCATTTTAGGCAGTATAAGAGTGTGAGTAGCACCTTAATTTTATTTTACTTGCTATGTTACCCTCGGCTTGTCAACAAGTCCAAAGCTCCTTAAACATCATCATAATCTGTGTCTTAAAAACAAAAAAATAATAACAAAAACAGTGTATTGTTTTTAAAACATATTATACTTTATTCAATAATAATCAACATCAATTCATTTGTGATACATTTTTTTCCAGACAAGGACTTTTTGTGACTGCATTCAGTTTAGTTAATGGCGGGAGAGGGCTGCTGAGGGGCACCGACGGCGACGTCAGAAACAGGTGGGGCAGGTAAGTCACCAATTACTATGTCAGACACAGGTGGGGCAGGCAAGTCACCAATCTCTACTTCAGAAACGGGTGGGGCGGGCAAGTCACCAATCTCTACTTCAGAAACGGGTGGGGCAGGCAAGTCACCAATCTCTACTTCAGATACGGGTGGGGAAGGCAAGTCACCAATCTCTACTTCTGAAACTGGTGGGGCGGGCAAGTCACCAATCTCTACTTCAGAAACGGGTGGTGATGGTAAGTCAGCAGGAGCGGGCAGAGCTACGTTCACGATGATCTGAACCAGTGGAGGAGCGCCTTTGTAGGGACCGAAGACAACGGGAGAATCGGCCACTGCAGACTCGATGGGTCCAATAGAAGGACGGGCCACAGCCACGGCGACGAAGGCAGCAAAAGCAACGAAGAATTTCACTTTTATTTTGCAAACAAGAAATACTTTTATAATATTTAAAAACTAAATTACCAACCTTCCAAAATAATTTGTTTGACTACACCGGCTTCAGAAGGTGTTGCACATAAATCTATACAAACATTATAAAGCTGAAGAGATCGTGTGATTGAACGCGCTAATCTAAAGAACTTTAGGTTCGAATTGAAAAAATATTTTAGTGTTGGAAAGTCCATTTATCGAGGACGGCTATAGACTATAATAATATGACATCACGCTGAACCCAATAGGAGCTTTTGAAAATAGAAGTTTTTTTAAAGTTAGTAATAAAATTATACAAAGTTTATAATTTTTATATTTAATAATAATTGATACAAACAAATAATTAACAGTTATATTTAAAAAAAAATGTGTTATTTACTTACTTTTTAACCGACTTCAAAAAGGAGGAGGGTCTCAATTCGATTGGTATTTTTTTTTTATGTATGTACACCGATTACTCAGAGATTTATGATCCGATTTACGTGATTCTTCTTTAGTTTGATGCGGAATAGTTGCCATTTGGTTCCATAAAAATTTAACATAGTTAGGCCCAGTAGTTTTCATTAACCGACTTCAAAAGGAGGAGGTTCTCAATTCGATTGGTATTTTTTTTTTTATGTATGTACACCGATTACTCTGAGATTTATGATCCGATTTACGTGATTCTTCTTTAGTTTGATGATGAATAGTTGCCATTTGGTTCCATAAAAATTTAACATAGTTAGGCCCAGTAGTTTTCATTTTATGAACATTTTTAATGAATATTATTGTTTACTTGGATGATATAATTTTAGTTTGTGTACGGCCTTTTTAGGAGTTTTCATTTAAGTTGATGATATATTATATTATAAACACTTTTTCAGGAGATTTTTATTAAATATTATTGTTTACTCGGATGATATAATTTTAGTTTGTAAGTTGGAAGAAATAAATAAAAAGGAAATTTTAAAAATAAGTAAAATAATTAATCTAGATTTAACTGTCTTAATCGTTGCATTTCCTGTAGTGCTTTGTCATCATGTGGTTTGTGTAATAATTTAGATGGTTCCAAATCACTTAATGCCACGCCATCTAAATCTTAACGACCTAAAGCCACATATATCTGACCTTTTGCAAAAATTTTTTTTCCGAGGTTTATCACCGCCCTCTCCAATGTCGTACCTTGGAGCTTGTGAACGGTGACAGCCCAACTTAAAATTAGTGGCTGCATTAATCTCTCGACATTACCGTAACCTTTATTGGCCTGAAAAGTTGCAGATGTTGATGCGACTGAAACTAGTTCCTCCGCGTCTTTTACCCTAGTGCCTACCGTCTCGTTATCAAATTTAATCAATACTGCTTCGGGCAGTTCTCCTGCTTCTAGTTGGTCACGGCGAAGGGCTGGCCACTTGATTTTTTTATTACACACATTGCTCCGTTGACTAATCCATCAGACACCGCCATATTTCTTCTCAGCATCATCCTAGAGCCTATCCCTATTTTAATGCTGTGTAACAATCCACCACAGTTGTTAACATCTACAGGAATGACATTATGCGGATGCCGTTTACCATTTCAGACGTCTCTTTGGCAAGACGTTCTTGAATCTTAGCGAGTCTAGCCTCATACTATTCAAGAGTTTCTTGACGTGAACGTAATTTTATAAAAATTTTCATAGCTAACAAACGTTCTTCACCATCTATCTCTGTCTCCCAAGAACGTGAAATAGAGTTTCGAACAGCATTTTTTCGGAGTCGATTCCTTTTTCCGTTCCCGTTTCTTGGTATCTATATTGTTTAAGGCACGCTGCACCTTTCGTAGGCGTACCCATAGCTGCTTACTATTTGAAAACTAAAAAAAAATCTATTAGATATATGACAATAAAAACCAACGAAATGTTATAGTGTACCTGATGTAATCTAGAAAAATCCTACTGTAGTTAACAGAACAACCTATTTCAGACACTAAAAAAGTAAAAAAAAAAAAAAATACGTTTAAAAAAACCGACTTCAAAAACTAAAAAGTTTAAATTAACTTAATAAAGATTAAATTTAATACACCTCTTATGCAAACCTTTAACATTAATAAAATACTTGTAAAGAATTAGCACGAATTCCGGAAATAAAACAGCAAATATAATTATGGACTGAGCGTGTACTGCCTTGTAAAAAGCTCCAGAGTCGTAGTGCCAGTCAACATTTTAAATCAAACTTAAAGCTACCGACTATATTGGTGACACAGATGACAGGCAACGTTTAATTGCTAGATGTATTGCGGTGCGTTTACCATTGGGCGCCTGAACATACCCCCGGACGTTGAAAGGTGCCCTTTCAACCATCAGTGGAACACACGGGCAACGGGCAGATCCGATTAAAAGCCCTTCGAATGACGCCCACAGACGTCCGGATATCAGCAACGCGAACAACCCCATCCTCTCCAGCATGCACAGCCACGATTCTCCCCAAACGCCACTTCAGAGGGGGCATGTTGTCCTCCTTGACGACCACCAAAGTACCCAGCTTCAATTCATCCTTGCAGGAACGCCATTTCGTTCTCTGTTGCAGCTCAGCGACATACTCCTTGCTCCACCTAGTCCAAAAATGTTGGCGGAGCTGTTCAATTCGCTGATAACGAGTCAGGTGGTTCACGGATTGGTGCTGATATTCCGATTGAGGTATTGATGTTAATGGACGACCCACTAGGAAATGTCCCGGAGTGAGCGGTGTACAGTCGGCAGGATCAGATGACAGCGGCGTTAATGGGCGAGAATTTAAGACCGCCTCGATTTGGGTCAACGTGGTGTTAAGTTCTTCGTAGGTTAAGTGACAGTTTCCCAACACTCGCTGTAGATGATATTTCGTCGACTTAACCCCCGCTTCCCAGAGTCCGCCAAAGTGTGGCGCATATGCAGGAATAAAATGAAAATTAACCCCATCATTTGCCACCCTCTCTGCCATAGACTCACAGTTTGTTTTCAAAAATTTCGAAAGGTCGTTGTACGCACCCACGAATGATGTACCGTTGTCGGAATAAATGTTGACCGGTTTACCTCTCCGCGAAATGAACCGATTTAAGGCCAGTAAATACTTTTGGCTG